CCCAAAAGGGGGGGGGGGCCGGGGCCGGGCCCCCTAAATCCGCCCCTGAAGATTCCATTAGCTAATTCTGACTAATTAGGCCTCACCATTAACAAGCTTTACATCTCTCCAAGAGTTACACCATTCTACTGCCCAGAGATTACCCCACCCCTTTCTTTGGTTAACACATTAATATATGATCACACCTCAGTAGAATGGACTTACCAAAGAGTGCTACTTACTTTTAACTAATTAATATGCATATAGGCCTTAACTTTAGCTCATTAAGATTCATTTATAAATACGGGGACGTATCCAAGGGGGGGGGGAGTGGGAACTGCAGCTCCCCACCCCCTTTGTACACAGTTTAAAACTTTTAAAGCTTGTTCTTGAGCCAATACAAATTCTTTCCTGGGATCACTCAAAATGAATACTTCTAAAATACGTAAATATGCATCAGTCCCGGCATTAGTACACGTTATAGGCCTACATATAGGCCTAATAGGCTTACTACAGTTATTATAACACATACAGTAGGCCTAAGCGTGATTTTTAAAATCTTAAATCCATAAATCCCAGGCCAGTCTTTTAAGATACAGAAATGTGATGTTGTATGGTTCAGTTTGGTTTTTCATCCTTTTTAAAGCTTCTTTAAAGTTTTGTTTAATAGTCTACCTAGTAGTATTATTATTATTAATAATAATAATAATAATAATAATAATAATAATAATAATAATAATAATGATAATATTAATAATAATAACAATAATAATAACAACAATAATAATAACGATGATGATGATGGTGATAATTGATAATAATATTAATAATATTAAAAAGTGAAGAAATTGTGCTAAAGGCGAAAAAGAAAGTTGTGATTTGTTGATCACAATTATTATAGTATAGTTAAAGCTTAGTAAGCCATAGTTAGGCCAAAGTTGTCCTGAATATAAAGTAGATCCCTGATAAAAGATCATGAGAAATTTGTCGGCGCTTCATTTTGACTATATAATTGTGATTTGATGATGATGATGAATTTTACTATATAAAAGTGTCATTTACGGCCATCTAGGGGTACTATTTCCTTAAATTTTGTCGTCTCAGCCCCAACCATGGTGGGGCTGAGGTGGTTGTGGAAACGCAGTTTTAAAGTATATAAAGTACATACAATAGTCAAAGACAATGTTTTTCAACTTTGTTTCTATGGTATATCACCCATATTGATAAGGTGGTTGCCGAAAATCTCAGATCAAAGATCATGAGATTTTTTTTTGGCGCTTCATTTTGACTAATGGTGATGTGATGATGAATTTGACTAAAAGTGTCATTTCTGGCCATTTAAAGGCACTAGTTCCTCAAAAGTTCCCCCCTCATCCCCAACCATGGTGGGTCTGGGGTGGGTATCGGCTCACAAATTGCTCCCCCCCCCCATCATCAAAACAGATCTGCGCCCTTCCCTGGATAGGCCTATGGCATTTAACTCCATCGAGTCGCCACCTGACTCAGAGTACCTAGGGCATGTCTTAGTGACTGCTGAGGCGATGGTGCATAAATTTGTTTTTAGGGTGTGATATGGGTTTTTATGCCCTTTTTTGTGATTATGTTTTTTAATTAATTAAAATTATCCATTATTTAATGGAAAAAAAGAAACCATGGGGCTGAGGTGGGCATGGTTTCTCAGTCTATGAAAGTCCCTCCCTGGGTCGCCTCTCTTTCGAATTTCTGGATCCGACACTTTTGATTTGTTTGATTTGTTATGTAACTATTGTTAGGCTTATTAGTATCAGTTATGATGCGTTTATTGCAATTTTAAAACAGTCCTAAAAACGTTCGGAGTGCGCTACATCACAGGGGGATTCACCCCCGCAGGACGGCTCGCATAACGGCTACGACCCTTTCAAAATCCTGGCTTCGTCCCTGCTTGGATGCAGTGCACAATTATTAACACAATTAACTTATGCATATTCATTGTTTACCAGTCCGTAACAAAGAATACATCACTTTGCATTAACAGGGTGTTCGCAATATACACAACAACTTTTCCTGCATTTACTTCTTTACTTAAATTTGACATAATTTCAAATAATAAAAATCCTGTCTTCTTTTAATTCTAAACTAATAACACAAGATAGCGTAGGTCGAAAAAAAAAACATTCACTGCAGTATCTGACACTTTTGTTGCTGTTAAAGTGTGACTAAGTTATTGCAATACTTAAAGTGTATAAAGCAAAGTCGAAGAAATTAGTAGCTAAGTTTTGTATATTATATATAACATATGTATGGCATTGGCACTACGTTTGTTTACTACGGTACCGTATATTAGGTGTTAATTCATTAAAACAAACTCGTGATCTATCATTCATTCATTCATTCACTCATTCATTCATTTGCTTTGACAATAAAACCGGGCACTAACTAAAATAATTGGATGTGCGACGGTTGTACGCCGAATTCAACTCCGCGCCCTGTGAGCGCTAAGCCGGGCACTCACTGCGTCGTACGACGGTCGTCGATACGACCGCAGGCCGAAGAATCTAACTTCGTTCCCTTTGAGCGCTAGACGACGCGACGCCGTCTGATGATTCTCGGTGGCAGTCTGCGGCGGACCGTCATTAAAAACGATCCGTTACGCCAGCGTCGTGGCGTAGCGTTCTTTATAGAATCGAGTCGGGATGACCGTCAGGCACAGTGAGTGCCCGGCTTTAGACAACGCGACGCCCTCTACTGATTGTCGGTGGCAATCTGAATAGATCGTCATTAAAAACGTTAAAATCCGTTGCGCGTTGCGTTCTGAGAATCGCGTCGGCCGACCAGGGGTGGCGCCAGGATTTGCCCAACAGGAGGTCCGATGTCCCCGACGGGGTCGGGGGCCCATGTCCCGACAAAAAAAGGTTGCGTGGTCGGGCGTCGCCCAAAATCACTCGAAAGTGTCCTATGGCGGCAAAGCCCCGAAAAATATGACAATTTAAGGGTTTAGAAGGCTTTACTTCTTTAATCGATTTCAGAGTGATAATAGGCCTATGTAGAAAATTACGAAAATACAATTACATTTTTTTCTCCCAGACGAATTGCGGTTTTCCCCCCACCCGCCACCTAAACGGTGCCACCCCGCTGGTGCAACCCCTGCGGCCGACGACCTTCCACAAGTGCCCGGCATTATAAGGACAAATATATACTTAGGATACTTGCTTAGCAATGCACATGGAATAGACATAGGCCTATAGCGCTTTTGCTTTTCTTACTCGAACAACTATCAATGGGGGAAAGTTCATGTAAGTCTGGTTAATGTAGCAATTTAACTTAGGCCTACCAATCAATTGATGGGTTATTCTGTCGATCGATCGATCGATCGGTCAATCAATCAATCAAGCAAGCAATCAACCAATTAATCAATCAGTCACATTAATTGTACAAATGTAGTTCAGTCAATACATGAATCACTCAATCGATCAGTCAGTCAGCTAGCCAGTCAGTCAGCCAGCCAATCAATAAATTAGTCAATAAATAATCAATAGGCCTAAATATTTGAACCAATTAATTGAACAACCAAATAATAAATCAGAGTGTAACAGAATAAAGGTAGCTTAGTGGTTAAGATGATCGCCTTCAAATCCAGGGTTCCCAAATGACAATAAATTCTTATAAATTAAAGAACGTTTTTATGAATAAAAGCGAATCCACTCACAATGCTTTACAGTGGAACGGAGAGAACTATTTGTTTCTTTTCTGAGACAATGTTCTTTGAGTATTCATTAGCTCAGCATAAAAAATGAAATAAGCATCGAACGATTTAAATATTATTATTGAAAACCAAAAAGATATAAGCCTAAGTAAAGCAAATTCTATATGTACGTATACCGAGGAGGAAGTAAGTATACCACTATGAGCAGGAGCAAAGGGAGACATCATTATGGTTTTATTAATTGGATACAATTATTTAGAAGTCATTGTCACGAGGTTCTTTGTTATGATGACGAAATTTAAGAAAGACATCTAACTGGAGGCATATCCTCTGCGCAAATCCTAATAGAGGATATAGGTATGTTCTACCATGGAGGTATAAAAATAGACCGATGCCAAACGGTCGTACTTCGAGATAAATAGAATACGCCTCTTAGTGGTATTTTCAAAAATCTAGGTGGACTAATCTTAAAATATGTAGGCCTACTTGAAAGTCACTCTTTTAGACAGTTTGTGTTAGCTTAATTCATTTATTTATTAGACATTAAGATGTCATGTGACCCCAAAACAATAATCACCGTGACAAAGACTGCGGCCCGAGGGTAACATATACTTAACGCACTAACTCCATCTCAGCAGCATTACAGCACTTAGGCAGACTTTCTTTGTAATAAACTCACGGATAGAGGTGATAATTAGTCGTCAACAAGTAAACAAAAAGTAATGAATGTGGCACACGACAGCAGCAGTGCATTGTGGTTTATCGGCTCGTGCCTCTGCATTGTCACAATCCACAGGATTCCAGACAAAGAACTTAAGTGTCCTTACATCTATGCCTCATCTCGCATTATACATTTTCTACGCTTTTGTGTATAAAAATGAAGGCTTTTTTTTTTAAAGCAGACACGAGAGCTGATTATCCGTCAATGACTTTTTCAAGGCAATAATAAAATTAGAAAACGCCACTCAAGACGCGTCAGTAGGTAATGCAGTGCGCATCCGAAGGTTTCTGTAACAGAATGTAACTTTAATTTATAATGTATGTTCTAAGTAATACAATTTCCTGTATCCATGGACGCGTCGATTAATATCGAATAAAACTTGTAGATTGAAAGATACAGACGGAACGCGTTATCAGATCGGCTCGTTCGTGGACACTAATTGAAAAATCTTTCGAGAGTCCTTCTGACACTATGTTTTTGGGACTAATAATGATATCAATGTAAATATCATTTAATAGAATATAACAAACTCGTGTTTGATATTATGCAAACGCCTGCATTTTGGTGAATGTACTTATGCGAATTGGGGACTGACCTAGAAAATTGTGAAGCTATGTCTGCTAACAATATGAATGGCTAATTATATCTTAGAGGCCTACATATTGGACATTGATTAGACACACAATACACATTGATAGACTATTACAATATATTCAATGTCATCAAGAATCAGAATAGCACAAATAAATCTCCATTAAGCCATCATAACCAGAATATATGCA